GGCCGGCGCCATGCGGGGGGGCCCCGGCGACGCGGAGCGGCGGCAGCGCTGGGGTCGCCTGTTCGAGGAGCTAGACAGCAACAAGGATGGCCGCGTGGACGTGCACGAGTTGCGCCGGGGACTGGCCAGGCTGGGCGGGGGCGATCCAGACCGCGGCGCCCAACAGGTACCCCCACACACACACCAGGACACCCCGCTTTTTGCGCACGACACACACCGCCCCCTCCCCCCCCCCCGCGCGCCCGGCCAGGCATTCGGAGCCCCTGAGTCGGGGGTTGGGGGGGGGGAGGCGGGAATGTCCGGGGACCACCTGTGGCTGGCTGGACCACAGGACCCCTGTCTGTCTGTTCTCCCTCCCTCGTCCCCTGCCTGGCATGATTCCATCACAAGACACGGCTGCCGGGGTGGGGGGAGGGGGCGCCCCACGGGCCTGCAACCCGCTGCCAGCCAGCACCCCGGCACCCCGCACCCCCCCTCCCACCCCCACAGACATCGGCCAGGGGACAGAGCCAGACCCTGCCCCGACACGCCCTCGTCCGGACCGGACCACCCCCCCCCCCGGGCTGCCATCCCACCTCCTGCGGACACACCCTGCCCACCCTCCAGGGGCGCCCCTGCCCTCCCCTCTGCCCCCGACCTCTGCTTCCAGTCCTGCCTGCCCTTTCCCCGGGACCTGGCACACTGCCCCCGCCTGGGATTTAATCCTGCCCGCAGCCACTGTCGGCTGGAAATGGATCCATCCGGGCAAGACCATGCCCTTCCTCCTCCAGCTTGCAGGTGATCGCACACCCATAGCCCCCGGGTGCCCACAGCTTCCTCCCAGGCTTTAATCCTAGGTCCTGGGTGGGTAAGGTGGAGGCCTGGAGCTGTTATGCTGGGTGAGCTGGGGTGATTTCTAAAGAGAGCCCTCCTTGTGCATAGGTTTTTACGGGTCAGTCTTTGGAGACCAAAACCAAGGTTAGAGCTGGGCCCTGGTAGCTCAGACTTATCTACTAGCTACTCAGGAGGCTGAGATAGGAGGACCAAGGTTTGAGGCTGTCCCAGGTAGCCAAATCTATAAGACTCTTATCTCCAATTAACCATCAAAAAGCTGATAGTGGAGCTGTGGCTCAAGTGTTTAAGGGCCAGCCTTGAATGAAACAGCTAAGGGACAGCCCTGAGTTCAAGCCCCAGTATTGGCACCAAAATAAGGAAATCTTAACAAAAAGAGGTTATGGTTTCTCAACTCCTTGACCTTCAGTTAGTTGACTTGGCAGGGGGCGGAGGGGGGGGGAGTTTGTAAGGAAAACTGGGCCACGATCCTGCCATGCACCTGGTTCTATGGCCTTGAGCATCTTGCTGAGAAGTGAGCTGTCCCCTTCCTTGAAGCCATGGGGGGGGGGGACTCTGGGCCCCTTCAGATCTGTCCCTCTCCCCTCTCACCAGGGCATCGCGCCCCAGGGTGACGGTGACCCAAATGTGGGGCTTGATCTGGAGGAGTTCACTCAGTACCTGCAGGAGCGCGAGCAACGCCTTCTGCTCATGTTCCACAGTCTTGACCGCAACCAGGATGGTAATGCCGGGCTGTGGGCTGGGATGGGGGGGGAGGGGAGAGGGGGGAGAGGATGGGGCTTAGTAGGGGCGGAACCAGCAGGGCTGGGGTGGGGAGGGCTTCTCCTTCCCGATGACTCACAGGCTATTTTGAGACTTCTCCTCACCCCCAACTAGGTGTTTCTACACCCAGCCAGCCTGGCCCACCCCTTCTTCACTTCTGAAGTGAGACCCCTGGGAATACTCTCAGGGGTCCCCCCTGACCCCCAACATGTTGCTTTTATGTCCCCTCTCCCCTCCCTGGGTAAAGCATCTTGTGGGTTCTAAACATCGCCTCTTATTTCTCTGTGGCATAGGGGCCCCTGTATTAGCCTCTGAATCCATCCATCCATCCATCCATCCATCCGTCAGGGGAACAGAGGACTCCTTAGCACTGCCCATTGCCACTTCTCTGAGTCCAACGAGTCCCAGACCTCCCTGTAGTCCCAGATGGAAAGCCACCCCTGGGTTTCTTGATCCTCTGGTCTTGCTAGAAGGTCCCCATTTCCAGCTATCCTAATTTGGGGTCCCTCAGGGTCCCACTCCCTCCCCCCAACATTCTTTCCCCCACATCGGGGGCCCCCTTTTCTAGGTCACATCGATGTCTCCGAGATCCAGCAGAGTTTCCGGGCTCTGGGTATTTCCATCACTTTGGAGCAAGCGGAGAAGATTCTGCACAGGTGAGTGGAGAGAGGCTTGAAATTACAGATAACTCAGCCCTGCCTGAGCCCTCAGCCACCTGGATCTTCAGGGCCCCAGATCCAGTTCCAGGGAGGGGAGAGATAAGAAGTTAGGCTTCAGAGGCCAGTGGCTTGAGCTCTCTGAGCCTCAGTTTCCCCCTCTGTAATGAAAGTCATGCTTTGTATTCTTTACTTTTTATTTGATTTCATGTGTACATCTGTGGGAGGGTGGAGGGAGGGCACAGAATCCAAGGGAAAAGGGTAGAAAAGTGCAGCAATGGAGCGCACTGGACGTGGATGAAAGCAAACTATGCAACTTGTGGGTAAAGACGGGAGGGAGGGATTGGGAGAGAATGAGGGAACAGATGACACTGTATGAAAGGAAATGTACGCACTACCTGTTCATAATGTAACCCCATTGTCTATCACCTCAAAAACAATAAATTTTTAAAAATAATGAAGGTCAAGATAGGGCTCCTGATATATGAAGAATTAATACCAGGACAATAGACAAGCCAGGAGACCTGATTCCAGCAGTAGTAGAAATGTGGTATCACACAGCCGGATGCTGTAATCCCAGCAACTCAGGAGGCTGAGGATCATGGTTCAATACCAGCCTGGGCAGAAAAGTCTCTGTGAGACTTTTTTTGGGGGAGGGGGGTCGGTTGTGGGGCCTGAACTCTGGGTCTGGGCACTGTCCCTCAGCTCTTCAGCTCAAGGCGAGTGCTCTACCACTTGAGCTACAGCGCCACTTCTGGTTTTCTGGTGATTTATTGGAGATAGGAGTCTCATGGTCTCTCCTGCCCGGGCTGGCTTTGAACCATGATCCTCAGATCTCAGCCTCCTGGGTAGCTAGGATTACAGGCGTGAGCCACCAGCACCTGGCTCTGTGAAACCAAGGAACCATTCAAAAATTGGAAGCAATGCTGTGGTTCAAGCACAGAGGTTCAAGGATGGTGCCCAGGCCCTGAGTTCAAGCCCCACCTGCTGGCACTGATCCTGACCCATGCCCAACCTGCCTCCAGCATGGACCGCGATGGCACGATGACCATCGACTGGCAGGAATGGCGGGATCACTTCCTGCTGCACTCGCTGGAAAACGTGGAAGACGTGCTGTATTTCTGGAAACATTCCACGGTGAGCTGAGCCACCTCCCAGCCCCTCACTGCCCCAGGAGCTGGGTTTTCTTTCCTAGAAAGGGATTACTGGGGCCTCTCTGGGGCTGCAAAGAGACCAGGTCTCCCAACAAGTAGGGAAGTAAAGCCGTCCTCTCTTTCTGAGCTTTGAGTTCAAGAGCCTAGAGAACCATGTGGGGCATCTCTGCTCTCTGAGCCCCATTTTTACTTGCTTGGGGGACTTCTTGGGGGCACTGGAGGTGCCAGGAAGAAAGAGCTCAGCAGATGGAATTCTAGGCCTTCCAGCCTCAACCCCTGGCTCTGCAGTGACCTCTGTCCCCCCTGATTCAAGGGCTGTGGCTGAATAGAAATGTCAGTGAGCCAGGTACAGTGGCTCATGCCTGTAATCCTAGCTACTCAGGAGGCTGAGATCTGAAGATCATGGTTCCAAGCCAGCCCAGGACAGGGAAAGAAAAAAAAAAGTTGGAAATGGTGCTGTGGCTCAACCTTGAGCACAGGAGCTCAGGCACAGCACCTGGGCTCTGAGTTCAAGCCCCAGAACAGTCTGGATGTGGGGAGGGAGTTTTGCCCTAGGTCCCGGGTTCCTGAGTGAGAATAGCCAGGGATCTGATGGTGTCTGGAGGGGACCCCTCACTCTTTGAGACCTCCATGCGTGACACCAGTGGCCCCTGTCCTCAGGTCCTAGACATTGGCGAGTGCCTCACGGTGCCGGATGAATTCTCAGAGCAGGAGAAACTGACGGGCACTTGGTGGAAGCAGCTGGTGGCCGGTGCAGTGGCCGGTGCCGTGTCCCGGACGGGCACTGCGCCTTTGGATCGCCTCAAAGTCTTCATGCAGGTATGGGGGTCTGGGAGGAGGGATGCTCTCCCTACCCCGTCCTCTAGGCCCTGGGAGGACATTCCAAGCCCCTCCCCCTTGTCTGTCCACTCAGGTCCATGCCTCAAAGAACAACCGGTTCAACATCCTGGGCGGGCTCCGCAGCATGGTACAGGAGGGGGGCTTCTGGTCGCTGTGGCGGGGGAACGGCATCAACGTGCTCAAGATCGCCCCTGAGTCTGCCATCAAGTTCATGGCTTACGAACAGGTGAGGGGGCCGCAGGTCAGGTAGGGTGTATTTGGCATGGGGGTGGGGGGGGCTAGGGATGACACCTGGGGTCAGCTTGGGGGGGTCCATATGTATGCCCCCCCGTGGCTGTCTGTTCCCCTACACCATGGCCACAGGAAGTAGGGTGAGCTGCTCCACCCCAGGGACCCTCACTCCTGCTTCTCCCCCCATCCCAGATCAAGCAGGCCATCCGCGGCCGGCAGGAGGCGCTCCACGTGCAGGAGCGTTTTGTGGCTGGTTCCCTGGCTGGCGCCACGGCTCAAACCGTTATTTACCCCATGGAGGTGAGTAGGAGGAGCCTGAGGGTGGAGGTTCCGCTGGGGTGGGGTGGGGTGCGGTGCGGTGGCAGCCGCTGGGATCTCTCACCATGGCATGGTAAACCTGTGTATGCTCTGGCTCAGAGCCCTCAGTGCCAGAAAGCCAGGCAAGTTCACGTCCAGCCACACGCATGGCAGCCAGCCATGGTGCATTGGCTTCTTTGAAGAAAAGGATGTAGCTGGGTATCAGTGGCTCTCGCCTGTCACCCTAGCTACTCGGGAGGCAGCGATCTGAGGATCACAGTTCAAAGCCAGCCAGGCAGGAAAATCTGTGAGACTCTTATCACCGATTAACCATCAGAAAGCCAGAAATGATGCTGTGGCTCAGTGGTAGAGTGGTAGCCTTGAGCTGAAGAGTGCTGGGACAGCACCTAGGCCCAGAGTTCAAGCCCCAGGGCCGACCAAGAAAAAAAGAAGATGAAGGGGCTGGGAAGGTGGCTCAGTGGTAGAGTGTTTGTCTTGCATGCATGAGGCCCTGGGTTTGATTCCTCAGCACCACATAAGCAGAAAAAGCTGGAAGTGACCCTGTGGCTCAAGTGGTAGAGCACTAGCCTTGAGCTGAAGAGCTGAGGGACAGTGCCCAGGTCCAGAGTTCAAGCCCCACAACTGACAAACAAAAAAGGGGGCTGGGTGTTAGTTACTCTCGCCTGTAATCCTAGCTATTCAGGAAGCTGAGATCTGAGAATCACAGTTCAAAGCCAGCTTGGGCAGGAAAGCCAGTGAGACTCTTATCTCCAATTAACCAGAAGTGGCGCTGTGGCTCAAGTGGTAGAGTGCTCACCTTGAGCTGAAGAGCTCAAGGACAGCGCCCAGTCCTAGAGTTCAAGCCACAGCCGACAAAAAAAAAAAAAGAAAAGAAAAAGAGGAATGGATGCTTGTCCCGAAGGGTTAGCCTTTCTACATTGTTAGGTTTCAGACAGAAGATCATTAGGATACTGAAAGCAACAAAACACTCAGATAAATGAAACCTAGAGGTAAGAATGACAGGCCAGATGTGGTGGCTTTGGGCTCCCATCTGTCTCATGACTCAACATAGCTGCTTGTGCTCCACTAATCACATTCCACATACCAGTCAATAAGGGGGTATGCACATAGGCAAAGGAATCTCACCCACTTTATTTTTTCCAGTACCAGTGTTTGAACTCAGAACTTCAAGCTAGCTTGGCTTGTCACCTGGTGCTTTACCACCTAAACCACCCCTCCAGCTCATATTTTTACTGGTTAATCAAAGATAGGGTCTCATATGGATTTTTCTTCCTGGGCTGACTTTGACTCGTGATCCTCTAGCAATCAGCTTCCTGAGTAGCTAGGATTATAAGCATGAGCCACTGGTGTCCAGCTAAACTCTTTGGTGGTAGTGGTGGTGGTGGTGGTGGTGGTGGTGGTGGTGTGTGTGTGTGTGTGTGAGAGAGAGAGAGAGAGAGAGAGAGGGAGAGAGAGACAGTCCTGGGATTTGAACTAGAGGCCTGGGTGCTGATCTTGAACACTTTTACTCAAAGCTAGCACTCAACCTCTTGAGCCAAAGCTCTACTTTTGACATTTTTCTGGTTAATTGGAAATAAGACTCTCACAGACTTTCCGGCCTCGGCTGGCTTCAAACCATGATCCTCAGATCTCAGCCTCCTGACTAGCTGAGATTACAGGTGTGATCCACAGGTGTCTGCCAAAAATAAATTCATTTAATGAATTAAATTTTAAAAATTAACTTGTTTTTCCCAAGATGTCTGCTCCCAGGAGTGGCTGTTTCTGGGAATGACTCTAGGGACAGCTTTTCCAGGGGTAACCGGCTTCCCCCCAGGTACTGAAGACACGGCTGACCCTACGCAGGACCGGACAATACAAGGGGCTGCTGGATTGTGCCAGGCGGATCCTGGAGCAGGAAGGGCCTCGCGCTTTCTACCGCGGCTACCTGCCCAACATGCTGGGCATCATCCCCTATGCGGGCATCGACCTGGCCGTGTACGAGGTCTGTGGGCAGCCTGCCCGCCCGCTCTCCCCTGGGGGCCCCCCAGAGTCATTCCTTCCCCTCCCAACCCACTTGACCTCATGTAGCTGCAGAAACATAATCACGGGGTGAGCCTTGGAATCCAGGGGAACCCCAAAACCTCCAATCCCCACTCTGCTACTTACCATTGCAAGAACCTTTTTTTCTTTCTTTCTTTTTTTTGTGGTAGTCCTGGAGCTTGAACTCAGGGCCCGGGGTGCTGTCCCTGAGCTTTATTGCTCTAAGGCTAGTACTCTGCCACTTGAGCCACAGCTAATTTCTGGATTTTTGCTGGCTAATTGAAAACAAGAGTCTCACAATTTTCCTGCCCCAGCTGGCTTTGAACCGCAGTCCTTTTTTTCTACTGCTGCTACCTGGGTTTGAACTCAGGGCCTCCTGCTTATTTGGCAGGTGTCCTACTGCCTCAACCTTCCTTCTAGATACTTTCTATGTGTTGGTTATTTTCTTTTTCTTTCTATTTTTATTTTTGTTAGTCATGGGGCTTGAACTCTGGGCCTGGGCGCTGTCCCTGAGCTCTTCAGCTCAAGGCGAGCGCTCTACCACTTGAGTCACAGCGCCACTTCCGGTTTCCTGGTGGTTCGTTGCAGAAAAGAGTCTCTCAGACTTTCCTGCCTGGGCTGGCTTTGAACTGTGATCCTCAGATCTCAGCCTCTGGAGTAGCTAGGATTCCAGGCCTGAGCCACCCGCCCCCGGCTTTTTTCCCTCTATTTCTATTCTGCGCTGCATACTACAGAATCAACAGCTGCCCCTCCTCTCAGATTCTCTGTCCTGCCATCCATCTCCCTCCCTGGCCAGCATCTAGCCATGACCACCACTCGCTCAGTCAGCCATGCAAGCACGCCCTGGAACTATCATCTATGGCTGCACGTAGAGGCTGAGACCCAACCCACATAGCTCAGCCATCAACCAGCAGAGGATAATTGCAGCTGAGCCTGACAGGTTCCAAGAAACACATGAAACAGGTCACTTGAGCAGGGTGCCAGTGACTGATGCCTGCAATCCCTGATGCTCAGGAAGCTGAGATCTGAGGATCATGAGTGGAAAAGTCTATGGGACTCTGATCTCCAGTTAACCACCAAAAAGCCAGAGATGGATCTGGGGGCTCAAGTGGGAGAGTACCAGCCTTGAACAGATAAAGCTAAGGGACAGAGTCCAGGTCCTGAGTTCAAGCCTCACTGCTGATGGCACACACAAGCACACACACAAAAACACAAGACAGATCACAGTGGGTGGAAGGGGTGGAGGAACTCCTGGGAGTTGATGGAGCCTGTTACTGTTACCTGCTTCAGGTAACAGTAGGTACACAGTGTGTGCAAAGGCCCAGGGGTAAGGAGGTATTTGGCCTGGCGGAGGAGGGGAAGCCTGTAGCAAGGAGACCCATTAGAACAAATGATAAAGTGAAGGGCTATCCAGGACCTCATGGAAAGCATGTGACTATTTCTCAATACAGGAAGACACCTTTGAGGGTGTGAGCAGAGAGAACTCCATTTAACACATTCAGGAGTTAGTAATCTAAGAAGCTTGAGAAGCTGTGCACGTGTCCTGCGGTGTCAGATTTGTTAGTCCCTTACAGGCTTGCAGTAAAAGGGTTTAACTTTTATTTTTCTTATTTTCAGTGCTGGGCATCAACCCCCGGGCCTTGCACAAACTACTCAAGCCTCCACCTCTGAGCGACATTGCCAATCAATCCATCCCCCATCCAATATCTCTTTTCAACAGAATAGTTTTCCTTTTCTTTTTTTTTTTTTTTGATCAGTCCTGGGGCTTGAACTCAGGGCCTGCGCACTGTCCCTGAGCTTCTTGTGCTCAAGGCTAGTGCTCTACCACTTGAGCCACAGCACCACTTCTGGCTTTTTCTGTGTATGTGGTACTGAGGAATTGAACCCAGGGCCTCATGCATGCTAAGCAAGCACTCTACCACTAAGCCACATTCCTAGCCCGGAATAGTTATAGTTTTTTTCCTTGTTCTTTTTGTGCTGGGTCCTGGGGCTGGAACTCAGGGCCTGGGTGCTGTCCCTGAGCTTCTCTTGCTCCAGGCTAGTGTTCTATCACTTGAACTATAGCACCACTTCTGGTTCTTTCTGAATAGCTTCCTGCCCCAGCTGGCTTCAAACTGTAATCTTCAGATTTCATCCTTGGTAGGGGGCTCATCCCCAGAGCAATTACCTAGCATATGTGAAAGGCCCTAGGTTCTACCTCTAGTGATGCTGTATGTATATATAGAAAGAGATCGATGAAAAGAAAGCCAGGTGCCAGTGGCTCATTCCTATAATCATACTCAGGAGGCTGAGATCTGAGGAAAGTCTGTGAGACTCTTATTGCCAGTGAACCACCAGAAAACTGGAAGTGGAGCTGTGGCTCAAAGTGGTAGAGTTCTAGTCTTGAGCAAAAGAGCTCAGGAACAGCACCCAGACCCTGAGTTCTAGCCCATGACTGACCAAAAAAGGGGGGGGAGAAAAAGCAGGTATAGAGGTACAATGGCACACACCAGTGATCCCAACCACACAGGAAGCAGAGATGGTTAGGATTGTGGTTTTAGGCAAAAAAAAAAAAAAGAGAGAGAGAGAGAGAGATTCCGATCTCAACAAAACTAGCCAGGTAGGGTGGCTTGTTTCTATAGCCCCATATATACTTGGGAAGCCTAGATAGGACTACAGTCTGAGACTGGCTTTAACAGGGAAGTGTGAAACTCAACAGCCAAAAAGGGCTGGAAGTCTGACTAAAGGGTAGTGGGGCATGGTTTAAGGGAAGGGGCGTGGTGGATGGCAGAGCCACCTGTGTAGCAAGTGTAAGATCCTGAGTTCAAATTCCAGTGTTGCCAGAAAAAAAAAAAAAGAAGAAGAAAAAGAGGTAACAATCTTTAGGTACAAATTTCTGTTCTTAAGTGGCTCAGAATGATTCTCACCTTGATTCTAGCTTTAGGTAAGTAGGGTCCTCTGAGTCACAGTTATTTGGAATTTTCCAGCGGAACCTGGTAGACATGGCTGTGAAGGCCTGCAGTTGCTGCGGGCTGTCAGCGCTCAGGCTGTTGTAATCCAGTACAAATAAGCAAGCAGCTGGTTAAAACAACAGAAATAGTGCACAGTCCAGGAAGTCAAAAGTCCACTTCAAGTTGTTAGGAGAGCCACACACCCCTGGAACCAGCCAGAACCCTCCTGCATCTCTTCCTGGCTTCGCCTGGTCTTGGACCTGTTGTTGCTCCTTTTTTGTATTCAACCTGAGGTCTCGCTATATTGTCCCAAGCTGCCTGAGATCCACTGGGCTCCAGCGATCTATCTCAGCCTTCTAAGTCACTGGGACTACAGGTGTACACTACCTTGCCCAGCAGCATTCCCGTCTCTGGCGTCATCTGGTTTTCTCCTTCATATGTGTCTCTGTGTGTCTGTCCTTCCATTGTTGGAGAAAGTATCTCATTGGCTGGGATTACAGGTGTGCGCTACCATACCCACCTGTCATACTAGAATAATAGCCCACACTACTTATTTCTGCTGATTACCTCTACGAAGAACTTACTTGTAAAAATTCCTCCCCAGAAGATATTGGGTGATGTGGTAATGTCAACATGTCTTCTGAGGCTGCACAATTCAAAACACTTAGAAGTGTGTTAGCAAATCACCCCTGTTGGCAGGCAGAGCTCCAGCTCCCCCTTGAACCCACACTGTCAAAGGAGTGAAAGGGCTGGGGTGCTGACACTCGAGTCAGTTTCTGGGCAGTAGTGATTTTCCAGTACTTTCTTCCAGTTCCTGACTAGCCCTGAGACAGGGAAGGACCTGGGGTTGGTGGAGCTTGTGACTGGAAGTTAGACACTAGGAGGTTGTAAGAGAGGCAGTAAGGGATCTGGGCCTCCACCGTGGCTGCCACAGGCACCTGCCACCAAAGGTGTGTTTCCTGTGGCCTGCAAATAAGCCATCACACATTGACTTCAGGCACCATAAATGTTATTTCCTTACAATTAGGAAGATCACAGTCCAAAATGGAAGTCATGCTTGAAGGGATCCTTCACATCCATCCCTAGCCTGTATTAAATGCAGATGTTAAGAGACGGGATTTTTCTTTTCTTTCCTTCCTTCCTTTTATTTCTCTCTCTCTCTCTCTTTCTCTCTCTCTCTCTTTTTCCTTTCTTCCCCATCTTGGAGCTTGAACTCAGGGGCTGGGCGCTGTCCCTGAGCTTTTCTGCTCAAGGCTAGCACTCTACTACTTGAGCCACAGCTCCACTTCGGCCACTTTGGTGGTTAATTGGAAATAAGAGCCTCAGAGATTTTCCTGCCCAGGCTGACTTTGAACCACGGTCCTCAGAACTAGGATGACAGGCGTGAGCCCCCAGCATGTAGCTGAGGTATTTCTTCTTGATGGCTTCGCAGGAATCTTCAGATTAGAGGCAAAGTTTCAGTACCTTTTCCAGCTTCTAGAGGCCTTGAACGCTTTCCTTTCTCTTCAGAGGCTGGAGCAAAGTATCCTTTCTTCCTGCCTCTCTCCATCCCTTCTTCCTTTCTCTCCCTCCTTCCTCTCCTCCCCTCCCCTGATTTCTCCTCTTTCCTCTCTCCTCCCTTCCCCCCAGTCCTCTTCTCTTCCTCTTAAAGTGTGGGGATGGAACCCAGACCCTTAGCACATGCCAGGCATATTCCACTGGGCTTCAACCCCAGACCCTTTCTTAGTCTTAACCAATTCCTTGTGCTGACATTGGACTGACCCGGGATAATCCAAAATAATCTTCCCCCTTGAGCTCCTTAATCCCACCTGTGGAAATCAGAGCTGCGGGGAGTGGGGTGGGGGGGCGGGGGGTGGAAACGGGTTACCTGCGCAGCGGTTCTGGGCATGCGCAGGCAGCGTCCGCGGGGTCTTGCCCTCGCGCTGCCCGGTGCCTCCGAGTTATGGGCATGCGCAGACAGCGTCTGTGAGGTCTTCCCCGGGCAGAGCGAGGCTGCGCGGAGCCTCCGGGTTGTGGGCATGCGCAGACCGCGTCCGCGGTGTCTCCCCGGGCGGCGCGCAGTGGCGCGGTGCCTCGGAGTCCTCAGGGCCCGCGGCCGGCTACCCGCCGCCCCGCCGGCACCCCTAACCCCTTTCTCCACCGCAGACCCTGAAGAATCGGTGGCTCCAGCAGTACAGCCGGGAATCCGCGAACCCCGGGATCCTCGTGCTCCTGGCCTGCGGCACCGTCTCCAGCACCTGCGGCCAGATCGCCAGTTACCCCCTGGCGCTGGTCCGGACCCGCATGCAGGCCCAAGGTGAGGCGCTCGGGGCCGCCGCCCTCCCCGGCCCCCGTGGGGTAGAGAGGCGGGGGCTGGGGGGGACCCGGATGCCCATCGCCGGGCCTCAGTGTACCCCTGCGTGTCGAGGGAGGCGAGGCCTGTCCCCCCAAGGTGTGAGGAGCCGCCTAGCGGATCAGCAGAGGCCGCGCTCAGAGGCCGCCATTGGCGGGTTATGTAACAGGAAGGAGAATCTGGGAACGGGGATAAGGAAGTTCAAGACCAGGCTGGTTACTGGTTTTTGTTTTTGTTTTACCCAGTCCTGGGGCTTGAACTCAGGGCCTGGACACTGTCCCTGAGTTCCCTTGGCTCAGGGCTAGCACTCTTACCACTTGAGCCACAGCACCACTTCCAGATTATTTTGTGGTTCTTTGCAGATAAAAGTCTCACAGACTTTCCTGTCCTGGCTGGTTTTGAACTGCCATCCTCAGATCTCAGCCTCCTGAGTAACTAGGATTACAGGCAGGAGCTGTTGGCACCCAGCTTGTTTTGTTTTTGTTTGCTTGCTTGTTTTTCTGTTTCATGGGTTCGAATTTCCTTAGGAATCTTTTGTTTGTTTTTGGTCGTGGAGCTCCAACTCAGGACTTAGACACTGTCCCTGAACTTTTATGCTCAAGGCTAATGAGCCACAGTCTCACAGACTTTCCTGTGAGTCCTGGCTGGCTTAGAACCATTATTTTCAGATCTCAGCCTCCTGATTAGCTAGGATTACAGGTATGAGCCACCAGTACCTGGCTTCTTTGGGAGTTTTAGCATTTGTATTTCATGATTCTTCCCAACACCTTCCCTCCTCCCCCAAGAGCTATCCGACTAAGATGGTCATGATGTCCACAGCCCTCTGAGAGAAAGAAAGAGGGTGAATAAAGGATTGCACAATTAAGTATTGGTTCAGGGTTGAATACAGACAAGGAGGAACCTTCCCTTAGCCAGAGTGCTGCAGAGGACCTACTGAAGACCAGCTTTGGAATAGGTTGGAAAGATGGCCAGGAATTAGCTGTGAAGAGGAAGGAATTGACTTCCAGGAAGGGGATGTTTCTACCATTTGCCCACCACATATACATGCACATACCTTGCTCTGTTTGTATTCATCCTCCGAATTTGAGGACTTGAGATTGGCAGCCGATTCCAAAGCCCAGAAAAGTCCAGAGTCTGTGTACTAAGTCCTACTGTTAGTCTAACCTTCATCCCTCCTGCTGCCCACCTGACCCAGCTCTGGGGGGATGGGAAGGGAGAAGTAAAAAAGGGAGCTTCAGCCTTACCTGGGCCCCCTCCCCACCCCTCTCCCAGCCTCCATGGAGGGGGCCCCGCAGCTCTCCATGATGGGCCTGCTTCGTCACATCCTGTCCCAGGAGGGCGTGTTGGGGCTCTATCGGGGCATTGCCCCCAATTTCATGAAGGTCATTCCAGCCGTGAGCATCTCCTATGTGGTCTACGAAAACATGAAACAGGCCCTGGGGGTCGCATCCAGGTGAGGGACCCGGAGCCTACCTTACCCAAGATCCCACACCCTTAACCGTAGCACCCCCTGCACTGACACCCTCACCCACTGGAGATGAATGGCCCGACCAATGGATCCCAGCCTCCCTCACCCCACTTCAGCCACTGGATTCCAATACCCCAAGTCCAGATCTCAAATTCCCCACCCAACTGCTGGATCCCGCACCTCAGCTGAACCACCAGGATCCAACGTGTCCACACCCCAGACCTTAATTCCTTGTCCCTCAAACCCCTAGGTCCTGCATTCCTGAAGGTGGGTCCCTGTTTCCGTAGCCCACCCACTGGGTCTTGAACCCATACGTCTTAATCACTGGGTCCACAACAATTAAGTGGCTGGATTCCAATACCCCGTCCACAGGAGCATGTACCCCCCCACCTCATCACCCAGACACACACACACACACTCACAGAGCCACCAGATCTAGGGCCCTGTGTTCAGTACTGGATGGCAGATTCCCCAGGCTTGCCATGCCTTGTGCCCTGCATCTCCAAGCTCAGCCACTAGGTTTTGGATGTCGAGAAACCTCAACTGCTGGATCCTGATGATGCCATGCCTAGATCCTGGGACCTCATCACTGGATCCCAGATCCCCTCACCCCTACCACTGGATTCCTGTATTCCTTTACCTGGACACTGGATCCCAGATCCTTCCACTTCACCTGCTGGATTCCCTCTGTGCAAGCCTATGCTCCTCAACACTGGATCTCAGATTCCCAAACCCAGCCTGCTGGCTTCTGGCTCTTCAAGTACAGAAGCCAACCAGTACAGTAAAGTGGGTCCCAGTAACTGCAGCTGCTGGATCCCAGATCCCTTCACCCCAGTCACTGGCCACTGAAACTTCTGGGCAAACAAGGTAGAGCCTAGTTCTCCCAAGCACTGGATCCCAGGCCCTTAATCCCCTTCTCTCCTGCACCACTAATTCTCAGATCCCTAGTCTAGACCCCAGCAGCAGTTCTCCCCACCCCCAGATTCCAGGCACCAGCCCTGCCCTGCAGCCTATTCTCTACAGCCTGGGGGATGGTGGTCCCACGTTAGACAACCCAGGAGGCCCACCCATGTCTGGTTCATGGGTCATCCTCCAGTGGCAGGGGGAAGGATTTCTGCTACCTGCCCCACCTCTCACCCAGGCCACACCTGCTCTCCCCCCAGGAAGCTGTCCCACCCCAACCTTGACAGCTTTCTAAACCAGGTCCCTCTGGAGATTCAGTCATCTGTTCCTGAGACCAGGGACACACAAAAGGGACCTCCCCCAAACCCACCATGGTCAGGCTTGAAAGATTCATAAGCCAGGAATGAATCCACACAATATGCCCTTCCCAATTATGCAAAAACAAATCCATCTAGAACCGGGGTCTATTTTTCTACCAGAGAGAGGAGTAAAGCCCCCTTTCCCACCAACCCCGACCCCCAACTCCCCTATCCCCTCCTCCCATTCCTTCTCACTTTATAGTTGGATGCTGAGCCTAGGAAAGCATGGGGACCCCTCTCTACTCCCCATTAAGGGACAGTGAAAGAAGGACTGATGTACTGGGGGGTTGGAGGACCCCCTGGCTCCCACTACCCTTCACTTTTACCATGTCCCCCCTCCTGCCTGTATTATTTCAAAGGAAAAGAACAAAAGGAATAAATTTTCTAAGCTCTTTCATTGTGTGTGTGTGTTTCTTTCTGAAAAGAAAGTGGCGTGCTAATGGCGTGGCATCCAGGTCCCCAGAAGTAATGCAGGTGGGCCAGCCTCACACAGCTGCAAAAGATACAAAGCTCCTCCCTTGTGTGCCCCAACCCCACGCCCTTTCCACATCCACCTACAAGGCAGAGCAGGGCCAGGATATAGGCCTTATATATGGCCCTGCTAGGGTTTTTTTTTTCTGAGAAATGAATGTTTTGTTTTCGGTGGTACTGGGGTTTGAACTCAGTCATGCATTTGCTAGAAAGATGCTCTGCCACTTGAGCCACACCCCTACAGATCAGGCCACACCTACTACAGGATCCTCACCCTGTACATCTTGTGTCCTGCCATCTGCCACTTGAGTCTCCTCGCTTCCAGTCCAGCTTCCTTGCTTCATGCTTGGGCCTACATTGCAGGGGGTGGCATGTGTGGCCTTGATGCCCAGCTGTGTGCTTCTCCTGTAACTGGGATTTTGAGTCATTATACCAGCCTTATATTTTTATTGTTCTCTAATTCCACATGCTTACTGTTTTTTTTTTTTTTTAGGGCCTGAATGATATATTACTACAAACTGGGTGACTTAAAAAAAAAAAAAACAGGGGCTGGGAAGGTGGCTCAGTGGTAGAGCGTTTGCCTTGCATGCTTGAGGCCCTGGGTTCGATTCCTCAGCACCACATAAGCAAAAAGAAAA